CTGAGCCGCCTAGGCCGCGCTGAAGCGCAGTGGACTGTAGCTGTGGTGGTATCATGCGTCCACTCGCTATGTCGAACCAACAGGTAACTTCCAACACCCAATATCGCAAAACGGCGCGTCCTTGCGGGGGGCAATACGGTCCTCCCGTGATTGTGCCATCATTTCCTCTGTGCATGTAGCCGACAGCGGCTCCAATGGCAAGCCAAAGGCCTGCAAACATGATAAGTCCTACGTGTAAATGGAAATGCGGAGTGGCACTGGCTTTGAATCTCGTCGTTCGCCGTCGAATTCTCTTCGGGGTTATGCCAGCAAGTTCCCCACAAAGAGGCATGTTTCAACGGCATCTAGTTTCCAATCGCGTAAATTGTAGGATCCTTCGTGTTGCCGACGTAGCTTGTAGTGGTACTGAATGCCGTGCCTATGGCTGGTACGAACTTGATTTCGAAAGACCGAAAAAAACGTGCCGCAAATAGGTCAGACTGTTCATTGCCGAGGTCATGTGGTTGGCTGTGATCGGCCGCAAATAATAGATTCATGTTTCCTCGGAGAAACCTTTGAGGCGTGGGCGCAGGCAGGGCGCTTTGGGTGGTGTAGAGCAAGATCAAGAACGCGGGGGCCCTCCTGGGTAGGCCCATTCCGCTACCAAGCCGAAAGTATCCTTCCCGTCATCGCAAGGAGCATCGGATATATTATAGGAGCTGATGACGATGGGAAGGAGAATGGGAACAAATGTTTTCACAATCGCGCTAATCGAATACACCGTGTGCTGGCATGTAGGACGCGCGTGCCTTGGACACGCAAGCCGAAACGGCAGCGGATAAAGAATACACTGCAGCCCTCAGCAAAATTCCCTGAAATCCTTCGATCTGTATTCAGCGTTCCCTGCCGCAACCGGATGGGGCTGTGACTGCCCTCGTGCTCTCGCGCTGTCCCCCCTCGTGCTCTCGGGCTGTGACTGCCCGCGTGCTCTCGCGCTCTGGGAAGGAGGGTCCCCGACAAGCCCCGAAGAGGCGGCACAGGGTTGGCCAACCTGGTGGCTTCCAACGGTTTTGGCAAACCTCCCCTGTCGCGTTCGAGACGGCCCCGGACGGGCCGAGACACCCCCAAGATCGGTCCAGCACGACGCCTCAAGAAGGCCGCTAGAAGGGCTCCAGACGTCCCACGACCCGCGACACCCTTACGACAAGGTCAAGGGGCCCCAAGGAGGCCCTAAGGCGGCCCAAGGGGGACCCCAAGATGGGCCCAGGAGGCCCCAAGGAAAGCGTAGAAATACCTCGCGGAAGCACCAAGATGACCCGTCCTGGAGCAGATCAAATACAATAGTGGGAACTTGCCAGTCCGGTTGTATGGCCTTATGTTTGCCGTGACTCGCCGTACTGCAAATTCGCGTCGCGATGACCCCGGCGCCGGTTTCTGACACCGCGTGGAACGTTCAACCTTGAGCGATCGCTGCTATCCGACAGCGCAGATCGCTGTCTCGAATCGCCACAGCGTCAGCGCGGCGCGAAATTGCCATCAAGCTCTCGGCAGCGTCAGGGAATCACGGCACCCGTTCGCGGCGTGCTAAGGCGAGGGCGCTGCCCCGCCTCGAGCAGTGGTTCTTCCCCATGGCGGCGGCGGAGGGGGGAGGGAGCACACTTGATCTGCAAAAGCGTGAGAGCAAGAGATACAGCGCGCAGCGTGGAAAGCAGCGAGAACGCTGAGTCACCTAACTTCGTAAACAGCGCCCCCCGACGCGCGCTTACCTTCGCGCCCTGGCGAGGCCACCCTTGAGAAGGGCAACTTTCCAGCCTAGGTTGCGACACGCGAGGTGCGATTATCTTCGCGCCGCCGGTTTTTCCAGAGGGCAACACCTGGCTACCGAACCCCAATGCCACTGCACGGCAGACGAGGTTAGCGTCTGCGAGTGCGCTGTCAAATTTCTCTTTGCACTGGCTCCCACGGTAGCTGCTCATGAATCGCGTGCACTGGGGTGGATCGACTATTGGCTCTGCGACACTTGAGCAGGGACCGACCATCCTGGCATTCCTATAGGCCTCCCACGGCATGTTCTTAGAGCCCAACACATGTTCTGAGAACAAGCACAATGCTCTTATGATAGTAGCCCGATGTGCTAAAACAAGACTGTCTCAGCCAGAAATATTCTAAGAACACTTCGTGCAACACCCAAAAGGTTATTAGAACATGTTGGTGGGCCCATCGGCGAGCCAGGACGCTTCGCCACTGCTCGAGACACGGCCCACGCCACCCTGGGTACATGTTTGCGGCTTCTCGCAGGCAATGATGCCCCGAGATCATTGTACCCACTTGGCGGCATGCACGCGCAATCCCATGTTGTTACAACACAATGTTTAGATGTTGATCGCAATATTGGCTGCTGCACATGTGGAATTTAAATGGATGGCAGGGACCTTATGGGCTCAGGACTCGGTGGAAACCTACGTGGTGGGAATGCTCTGCGGATAATGCCGGAGAGGCCGACGTTGCATGTGGCGGTTGTCCGTGGATTTGTCACGACCACTAGCAGATGCACCCGTAGCACCAAGTCGATGCCGTTCGCCGATTGGGACGTTCGCTTGCACCGGCAGCTGTTCGGGCGACAGTTCGCCGGAAGCGATGGTTGCATGACTGCTGCCATCCGCGCCTGGAAGCGCTGGCTAAAGTGGGCTCGCTCTCCAGGCGTCGGTTCGAGTATCGACGTGTGGGCCCCTCAGCCGCTCCACCTCGGTGCATTCCTGCTGGACGTGTCGTCTGGTGGGCCCACCGTAGCTTCTGGGGTCTGGCACAGTCTGGAATGGCTTCGGCGCCACTTAAAGCCTGCAGGTGCCTACCAGTGCACCGCTGATCGTTTATTTCAAGGATGCGCCGCCTGGGCACGTCCCCAGCCAAGCGCACGAGCTCCCGCCGTGGGTATTCCTCAACCTTTTGCGGCTCACGCGGACGAAAAAGGGAGCCGTCCTCCGCTTCCTCCGTCAGACATTGCTGCATGCAATATCGTGCCTCCGTTGGCAGCACCAGGCACGGTCCAGAGTGACCCGTGTTACACATGAGGCGATTATCGGGTATTGTCATTCCTCTCGCCTGCCCACGCAGCTTCGCCTCGCCCGCACGCACGAAACGAACCCGAACCCGAAACCGATCTCACCCTCCAACCTCAGATACATATCCGCAGGCCCCCTTTGGGGCACCAAACAGCGTGGCAGAAGTCCACTGCATCCTGTCATAGTTGTCCTTGAACCTTTCTACTGCAGATTGTCACTGTCCGCGCGAGGGGGGGATCCCCAACCCGCCCTGGTACCACGGTCCCCCAGGGTTCTCAGATTTCCCGACGGGCGCTGGGACGCGCAACAATACATCACATTCGCGCTCCCGAGGCGACAATCCTCTGTTACGCCAGATGTGCGCTCCCCGAGGCCACGGGCCTTCTGAAAAATTATGCTCGATTCGTGGCCCCGAAACCACAATCCCCGTTCGCGCCATGTGCACGCCCCCGAGGCGACGATCCCTTGCAAATCCGCCGCCCCCCCACAATCCCCCCCCCACGGACCCCAAACCGTGATTTTGACCCCCCCCACCCCGGCCCCGGGTGGCCTCGGACCGAACTCACCCGGGGCGGTGGTCTGGGTTCCCAGGGCTCGCTCTTGAGCTGCACGACAGCACTTGACGCCTCCCACGAAGCCGCCAACACGGTCCACGAGAACCCAAAGTCGCCGAAAGATCGTTCCAAGACGCCCAAGATGAGCTCAAAACGGCCCAAGAGGCTGCCAAGACACCCCACGAAGCCTCCAAGAGGCCTCCCAAGAAGCCCCCAAGAAACCAAAATCATGAAATTCCTTTGGGGGGACGTGAATTTGCAGTCCGTCAAACTTGTTAGAAGACGGCCCACCAGGCTCCGAGGAGGCCCCACAAGCAACCCAAAAAAACTTCAACGTAGAAGCGCCCTAGACGGCCCAAAAGATCTTCAAGACGGCCCCAAGAAAAGCCCAAAAGAGGGACCACGAACCGCGAATTCCAGCGCTCCGCCCAACGAAGCTCTCCGGAGGACCCAAGAGGCCCCCAAGCGGCCCCAACAGGCCCCCATGAGGCACCCAAGAGGCCCTCAAAGAAGCTTTAAAAGGGCCGCCAAAACCCTTCGAAACTGCCTCTAAAAGGCCCGCGAGAATCCTCGCCACGAAATCCCAACGGACATCCCAAAGCGTGCCACACACTACCGTGAACTTGACGCATTATTGCTACTTGTCCTCGCCCCGGCTTCGGAATTCTGCCCGAGAGGTGGCAGACAACCAGACCCTGGACCTCCCATGGAGCCCGAACGCATTGGATTTTCGAGCAACGTCTAGCTGCGGCGTGCAGCGGGAAGCCGTCTCCGAGCCCACCAGGGGCCGCCAAAAAACGGATCGGGACGAAGCGCGGGTCCCGGAAAATCCGCCGATCCGGCGTGTGAGTTTCTGAGAGCGTGGACTTGAGCTCGCTCAAGCTTCGCTCTGCAGGGGGGGCGGGGGGGGCGTACGTTATTTCCGACGTCATTTCCGTTTTTTTTTCCGGTACACGGGGATATTTCCGACGTCATTTCCGACGTTTTTCGGTGCCCGGGGACAGGGGGTATAGAAAACTCAACTTCCGGAGCCCCGACCGCCCAAGACAGCCCAAGAGGAAGCCAACCCCTAGACAATGCAAGAGGAGTCGAAAGTGACTATGGTAAGTCAAATAACATCCGCTCCCATGGGAATCGAATGGCAGATAGCGTCCATTGCCCTGCTGGGGTGGTTCCGTATGGGGCATGGACGGATAAGATAGGATAAGATCGATGTAATGATCTTCCCAGCGCATAGCGAACACTAAAGTAAGTGTCCGGGCAGATAGGGCGCGCGTGCCTTGAGCCAAAGGCAACGGCGCGCGAGCTACACTCCCGACTCTGTATAACATCTCCCAAAGAGCTACCCTTAAAGTCGGGAGGGGAGGAGACGGAGAGTATAGCCGCGCAGCCGTTAGGCTCTACAAAGGCCGCGCGCGCAACTGTTTGCAAGAAAACAGTGCATACAGACTGGCCTAACACCAAACTGTAAGGCGAGTTTCCTCGCAAGGCATTTCACGCAAATGCGAGACAGCCCCTTGAATGGTAAAGGGCTATCGGCCCGGCTAGAGGTACGCCAAACGGGCCATACCTCACCGAGCAAACGGGCATTAAGGCAAAGAGCCTGAATCACATTGAACAGGCTCGTTACCAATCGTGAAATGTAAGGCTCGTTCCCGAGCGCCTAGGAGGGCGCCTCTGTAGTAGGCGCCCATGCTGGCAAATTGGACCGCGGGGGCAAGAAGGACAGACTAAACTTGATTAGACTTAGGCTTGTTTCTGTCCTCGGGACCCCGAAAGGGAACAAACTGCTTCACGTCATACTTACATGACTGGTTGCCTGACATCACTTCCAAAAGCAGCTCCCGATCGATGTTCCCCTTTATATGCCCATCTGCGGTCATATCTCTAGTATCACACCCCTGCACATTATGCACTATACCTAGATCCATGAGCTCACGTATCCAGCTAATATGTCCAAGCAAGGTCCGTTCCGTCGGCATCTTAAGATCCTTGCTGGATAACGATTTATATACCGACTCAGCGTCTATGGTAAGGGATACTTTAATAGCTACGCCCCCAACTTCACGCATATCTCGTAGTTGTCGTGGAGTCAGAGCCCCTGCCTTGAGCTCGTGGAGAGTGATGAGCGTAGGGTAGCACTCATCGAGGTTGCGTGCAGCTGCAAGTGCCTCAGCGGCACAGCTGGACCTCACCTGCAGTCGGTGTGATTTGCATAGTCCGTCACAGAGGTGAACGACGGATTTGCCTTGAGGCGAGTTTCCTCGCCGTAGTACGTTGGCCCCGCGTATGCCATAGCCCTTGGTCTCGTCGCCCTCCTCCCCGGTGAGCTTCCGATGCCCCGAATCACTGTGTATGTCAACTTCATTCGTCGGCTTCATCCGAGGGAAGGTGATGCGTTTCGGGCTGCTGATCAGCTTTTGCGTCGCAGCATTCAGTCGTCTGACTTGTAGGTCGGTGGGCTCTTGGATTTTCTGAAGAGAGACCACATATACCATGAGCCAGACTTGAGTAAGAAGGGCATAGGCGAGGGCTCCTCGCAAGCTGACGAACATGTCGGCGATGAGTTTGGTGGCTTTGGCATCGGCCGCCGCTCCTGTAAGTGCTGGGTGTGATAGGACGTAGTTGTTTGATATACTCGTCCTGATCCATGATCACATCCCCTTGGTCATTCTTAGCGTAGCGAACGGCGCAGTTCGTATATGAGTGTTTGTTAAGCTTGCATTTGCCAAACACCTTTTCGACACGTTGTACATAGCCGTCTATATTTCTCTAGGCCTGTCATATTTATGTCATCGACATGTTTTGCCGTTAACGAATCTTGGCTGAATTCAAACTCAGGATCATAACTTGTCGGTGTAAGGCCTATAGCTCGTGTGGTCGTACGAAGCTTGAGAGAGAACGCTCATGGGGCGTCCTTTGTACCCGTTCCTGGCTTGAGGCACCTGAGGCAGTGTCGGCTTTCGTCATAGGATGAAAAGCCGGGCAGTGTACGAAGTACCTGGGCACTTCCCGGTGGAAGAGCGAAGCAAACCATGCGAGTTTCCTCG